GTGTGTGTGTGTGATAACTTCTGTCGGAGTTCTCGACAGATCCCATCCAAACACTTTTCTATCAGAAGACTGACGTTTTGGTTTTTGCCCATTCGTTGAGGTCAACTGCTGTAGCAAAAGACAAACACAATCACTTTAGAGAAATTTTTTTCCTTGAACATTTCAACACTTTGGCATAGGATTAACTTTTGATGCTTCCACCCACTGCAGTTCACAAGTCGATTTTATGGCTCACTTTTAATTAGTTATTAACGACGCCGCAATGTTAAGAGTCAAGTCATTGATGAAAAAGTGGTATTCGATGTCTAAACTCCACTATCAGTGCTTATTGAAGCAATGCCGATGGTCGCGATGCCTACTTACGTCGAAAAACTCGACAATGTTCGGCATTTTCATTTCCTGTCACCACTCAAAAGTGTCTGACCCTCTGTCGGTCGGGGGTACCGGTGTTTTAAGTTTTTACAATTTATTTTACCACAATGCACCTCACAATTGATCAAGTTTGTATGATTCACATGTGGGCTTTCGGCCCGGCTGCAATGCAATTTCCACCTCGTCCCATGTCAATTATTAGCCCCACAAACATGTGAATGACCATGTGATTGGCTTTCAGGTTTGGCCACAGTCTCTTTATGCTGAAATTGAGTTGTTATGGCATCATCGCTTTTCGAACTGGCCTGGGGCGATGGAGAAACTTTGCACATCGTTGCCGGCCGGTCCTGTATCCTCTGCCGTACTAGTCATGCCTATTTTCAGTATCGAAAAAATTGACTTGGTATTATCGTTAGTGCGATTGGAAAAAACAAAAACAAAATGTTTTAATTCGGGCTTTAATTTTGATTGTCGTTGTCGCAAATGCATTGCATTGCTCCGTTGCGTTGCCGAGACGTTGATGATGCGTCTTCTGTTGAAGCCTGCGACTGATGAGCTCACAGTTCATTCTCATTAAAGATGATACGTGATGTATGATTAATGCTGAGGGGTACTTGCATCTCCGGTCAGATTGGTGTGAAGCATCGCTTGCGATGGTGTTTCTCAGGACTCATTGGCTCATCCTAAAATGAAGCTGGCTTGTCGAGCGAGCATCAGCAAACGCGAGGTAGGCCGTCAAAATTTCACAAATCTACTCACTCTCGGATAGCGACACCTACAGATTTGTTAGACGTGGCGCCATCAACTGAATTTAACAAAAGTCAACCCACTACTCGGCAGGATATAAGCGACCTGTTTTGCTGCTATAAAAGGCAGTGTAAGTAGTATGCTAGTAGTATTGCATGCGGTGCGAATAATAGTAATTATGTCCGTCTCTCCCATGCGACGACAATGCCCTTTACCTTCAGGCTTTCAATGCTCCTGACGAAATAGCCGCTCTTCATGAGGTCGTTTTTCGGCCGAGCCTGCCATCGAATGATCTGATCCGGCCAGAAAAGGAGGTCGTTGTAGTCAGCTCCTCGGACAGAATGATTGGCTTCCTGTCTCGTAGCGGATCCGTGATGGAAGCGGACTCGGAGGCCGGCCTGAAGCGGTCCGACGGAGTGGTTAGATCCGCTTTTCACCCGCCCCTCCAGGGACTGCATCTTCCCCACCCCGTCCACCAATCGCTACACCTTCAGCCCCGGCAACAACTCGACGTCACTTTGTTGCCCACAGAGACTCGTCCCACAGCCCTGGCCAGCGCTCTCGCCTACCTGGACACTCATCAGTCCGTCGTCAAGGTTAGTCGATTGGCCGTTTTGCTGTACCACGGCCGGTTGTCGATGCGGCCTGAGGAAGGACAAGTCGGTGGGTCTTTTGTGTCATACGACTTTCTTCTGGCCGGATTGGCGGACCAATCTTGTGGTCTGTTTGGCTGACCTCTCGGGTTCGCTTGCCCCCCTGTCCACAGAAGGTGATCTCAGATCCAGTATCCACGGAATCTGGAACTAGAATGGGCGTGATGAAGGTCGTTTCACTTGTCTGATGTCCAAGCATTTCACACTTACTCGGCTTGTTTCATTCATAAAACCATACGGCTTCTTTGGTTCTTGACCCTTTAATTGGCTCTCGAAGTTCTCTATTAGAATTGCCCTATCTTCATATCCTTTCGCTACTGTATTATTGCCGTGAAAATGTCGTTTTATGCAAGACTCTACAACTTTAATGGTTTAGAAAGTATAGAGTCTTGTTGTCGGTTGCAGGCCATAGCAACAGCTTAATGCAAATTTAAAAATATTTCATTTTTCACTTTTCTTAATCTAGTATGATGGCTGGGAATAATGGAAAAGTTTCAATCATCAAAAGTTTGTTGAAAGCAAAGTAGTATAGAAAAAGTCATCCAGAAGTGGTATGCTTTAGAAGTTGCGATTGTTCGTCAGTCCAATAAGGATGCCTATTTTGAAGTAAAAGTTGGTTTGGCGTAATTCGTCAAACGGTCTCACCGGAAACCGAAGGTGGTTTTCCACCGAAT